GGAGCCATTACGTTTTTGTATATGCCATGAATTTTACTGCCAGTTGTTAGTACAATATATTGTACACCTACGGTAATTGATTCTGTCCCTCGGAAATTTTCGCAAAATGAGAAGTGACCACCTTTCTACATTAATGTTCACAATCCATGCACGATTAACGACACGACTAAACCTTACGTCCGCTTACAACGACATTTGACGTAAAGACGAAATAACCTGAATTTTCGGGAGTTTTAAATAAATAAATACAGCAGATGTGAACGAAAGACAGTGGCAAAAGGATCTTGGCGTGGAGTGCGAGAAAGCGCAAATATTATTTAGCAAGCTTTCAGGAAGCATAGAAAGGTGGTCACTTTTCATTTTGCGAAAATTTCCGAGGGACAGAATCAATTACCGTGGGTGTACGTATCGGGAACTATAGATTTTCAGTACTGGCAATCAATTGGCAGTAAAATACAAACATGGCCTAGTATGCTCATAAAGTATCCGATGTAAACTGAGCCATTGGGTGCATTCAATACTACAGCCGCTCACTGAGCGCTCAGTGAGCAGTCTTAGTACTGAATGCACCCAATGGCTCAGTTTACATCGGATACTTTATGAGCGTACTAGGCCATGTTCGTATTTTACTGTCAAATGTTATGGTACTGAATGCACCCATTGTGTGGGCCATTAGTTGGATCTATGAGCAACAACCAACCATATTCATTTGGTCGGCGAGTAGGCTAGCCGCTTTGCGACTTGAACACGCCCATTGGATATCGCTCGTCACGTCCAGTGTGCAGTAGGCATAAGAAATTGATAATGGGGCTGTGTTCCAAAATTTACTGCCAGTATTGAAAATCTATAGTGCACGTAACGTAAACTGTAGCATTTTCTGTGTTGGCAGAAAATTTGGAACACAGCCAATGTAGTACTAATTTCATGATTTATTTTATTTAAAACTGAAATTTTAATGTTATCATCCGAGTTTGATTATCATGCAGATGATAATTGTAAAGAAAAAATTATAATTTTTCAGCAACATATAAAATATCAAAGCATTAAAAGTGTGCATACTTATTATGCAGTATTTAAATTATAAAAAATGAATTTAATAATGTATTATCCAAATATTTTGTGTTAAAAATTGCAAATTTGTATCGATTATTGATAATATCACCGTTCTTCTATTATCCCCGGATCTCCATTGATATAATCAAAATAGAGGACTCCTATAGAGACATTGAATATAGTCACGAAAATTTGTCCAAGGCCGGCTGTCTTTACAATAGTATCTCGTGAATCTCGTCGGTGTCACTACTGTCACATTAGTCACATAGGGACACGATTGTGAAGATCGTGGACAAACGGTAGTGATCTTTGTGTGAAAATATCTTTTGCTTTCACTGTCACATTCTTTCTCATTCGCATATACATATATATATAATTATATATACACACACACATACTATATATATATATATATATTGTATCAAAACAGTGTTTGTCATAACGGTGTAAAAGCGAATACACGCAGGTTGTGATCGATTAGAAAAAAAGCGCAGCGAGCGTGATCCGGTGGCTCGGTTCGG